AAAACAAGTTTGCAGTATTTGGCAGTAATGCTAATATATTGTCCTAATCCAGTCTGTCAGGACCCTAGGCATATTTATAAAATTGACTGTACGTTATGGTATTTTTTCCTCTTTGATCATTTCCCTTTCTGAGCTTCCATCCATCTTTAGGCTCTTCTACTTTCCTGAATTTCATTAATTCATTAGCAATTTCTAAAAATGTCCTTCTGTGTCAGAATATATACAGAGTTCTGATATTGTAAATAAGATACAGCCCCTGTGCCCTTGGAACCTACAATTTAATAAGGAGATGAAAACAAAAACCAGTTAACATGACCAATAATGTTAAAATAGGAATAAACAGTGGTGTTGAGGGATTCTATAAAGGGAGCACACAGTCTGAATATTTAGGAAAAGCTTTTAAGAGGGGGTGATTTATTTCTTAAGGATTTCTTGTCTCTCACTTGCTGAAGCTGTCTGTAATAAGAAACTATGCTCTTTAAATTTCCCTTCTCTGTTCCTTCTCCATCCAAAACTAATATCCTTGTCTGTTAAAACTTACACATAAATGTTTAACACATTCATGAGGGTTGATTCATTAAAACATCATTTGCATTAATGATAGGAGTTTATTAACATAAAAGTACTTGTAATTGATTTTTTTTTGTGGGGCATGGAGATTTGCATTCTTATTTATTTGTTATACTGTATATTTTTTGAGATGGAGGCTTTCTCTGTTGCTCCTGCTAGAGTTCAGTGGTGTGATCATAGCTCACAGTGACCTCAAACTCCTGGCTTAAGCAGTCAATCCTCTTGCCTTAACCTCCATGCCCCAGCTAAGTTTTTCTGTTTTTAGTAGAGATGGTATCCTGGCCTCAAGCTATCCTCCCCTCTTGGCCACCAAGAGGAGTGCTAGGGTTATAAGTGCGAGCTACCACACCTGGCTTTCTAATTGAGTTTTAATGGGTGTCATGGATAGATAAGAAAATACAAGGTCAACCTCTCCTCAAGCATAATAAAATAATTAACATCTATGAACCCTTATTCAAGTGAAATGTATAAACAAAGCACTCTTTTGGGTATGGAGGACAGAGTCTAACTCTGTTACCTTGAGTAGAGTGTTACGGCTTAGTAGCTCAGAGCAATCTCAAACTCTTGGCCTTGAGCAATCCTCTTGTTTCAGCCTCCCAAGTAGCTGGGACTACAGGCATCCATAACAACGTGCAGCTAGTTTTCTGTTTTTACTAGAGACAGGGTCTTGTTCTTCCTCAGACTGGTCTTGAGTAAACTCTTTAATTCACCTTTTATAGACACTTGGAAAAAAAGTCTGCTTAAGAAACACAGTAGCTGAATATCAAATGAGCACATTGTACTCCATAAATGCATTAATGTACACAGTTATGATTTAATAAAGAATTTAAGAAAGAAACACAGTAGCTTAGCATAGTAACCACCAATATTAGGAAACTTTAATTCATTAATTTTTTGCTTTTGTGAGGTGGGGGTGGAAGAACTGGAAAACATGGATAATAGTATGAAAAAGTTTATGTTCAGTGTTATAATTGCCTTGATTTTTATTTTAAAGTCACAATATCTACTTTATTTTGAAGTCTCAAATAATTGTAAAGGAAGTCATAATTATGTTTCCAAAAGTGAACATGGACTTATAATATTTCTATAAAATACTGCTTTTATTCTGAGGTTCTTTGATGTATTCATTTATTTGATTATGTGCTAGAAAATTATATAGAATGCTTTTTTTAAACTTGATTTTATGTGTTTATGCCCATCCTATATAGTAGTTTTCCTAATTGCTTGAAGGAAGCAATTTTGAACAGTTGAAAAGCTTGAATTCTGATGGATTATTTTTTTTTGCCCCCAATATAATTCACTGCTTTGTGGGAATGGCCAATTGATGAATTCAAATACTGTTTAGTATTTAGTAATCACTAGAATTGTGGTGTAACACATTTTCTAATGTTGAAAATCAACTTTTTTGTGGCAAAATTTACATAAAATAAGATGCACTAATTTTAAGTGTACAATTCAATGTTGACCAGTGAATATACATTTATGTAACCATTACCCCAGTTAAGAAATACAGATGGTGCCCAAAAAATGCATATACATTTTCAGAAAGGAAAAAACTGTTGAAATTATAATACTTGATATGTACCAATAAAGTTTGTCATCTTGATATTTTGTATTTCTTGTAATTGCAGAACTCAAGTGTGACTTAAGTATTGCAATTATAGTGTGACTTAAGCATTGCACTTATAATAAAGTTTTTTCCTTTCTGAAAATGTATGTACATTTTTGGGGCACCCTCTGTAGGTATTTCCATTATCTCAGAAACTTTTTCTTTTCTCTTTGCAGTCATTCACACTCCCTTTCCATATTCCACCCTTAGGCAATTGCTATTCTGCTTTTTGCTAATATATTCAATTTTCCCTCTTCTCTGTTGGAACTATGTAGTATATACTATCATTTGCACCTGGTTTCTTTTGCTTAGCATGATGTTTTTATCATTCATCTGTATTTGTTGTATGTTTGAGTAGTCTTTCTTTCTTTTCCTTTTCTTCCTATGTAGTATTTCACTGTAAGGTTGTATTACAATATGTTCATCCTTTCATCTGTTGTGGGACATTTGAGTTGTTTCTACTTTTCTACTTTTATGAACAAAACTGCTATTAATGTTTGCCTAACAGTTTTATTTTGGGGGTAGTGAAATTTGTGGGTCATGTGTAAATGTTTGCTTACCTTTGTAGGAAATTTCCAAAGTGTTTTCCAAAGTGTTTGCATGTGCCCACCAGCAATGTTGTGAGAGTTCCTTTTGCTCTATCTCTTTGCCAACACTTGGTATGATTGCACTTTTTATTTTAGCCATTCTAGTTGCTGTATCGGGGCATCTCATTATGGTTTTAATTTGCGTTTTTCTGATGACTGCAGATGTTAAGTATCTTTGCATGTTTATTGCCCATCAAGTGTATCTTTCTTGTGATGTGTTTAATTAAATCTTTTGCCCCCGCCCCTTTAAATTATGTCTTCTGTTACTAAACTGTAGAGTTGTTTTAAAAAATATAATTTGGATATACAAATCCTTTATCAGATATTTCTATCATCAATATTTTCTCTTAGTTTGTGGCTTGCCTTTTCATTTTTTACTGTATCTTTAGAAGAACAAATGTTTTAAATTTGTGTCCAGTTTACCAGTTTTGTTTTTTTTTTTATGGTAGATATACCTTATACCCTAAGCCTAAGAGATCTGTGCCTACCCTAAGGTTTTGAAGATTTTCTTCTGAAAAGTTTTATGTTTTATGTGTAGGCTCATGATCTGTTTTTGGTAATTTCTGTGTAGGATATGGTTCAAGGTTCATGTTTTCTATATGGTGATCCCGTTATTCCAGTTTTTTATCTGCAGTAGTCTAACATTTTCATGATGTAGTATCAGCAGGATTATATATATATTTTTTCATTAATATACAATCTTTAACATATCCTTTGGTATAATTAGACTGATTTGAAAGATTGTGGCTCCTTATATAAAAGTCTTTATTTAGAGTCTTAATTTAAGTCTTTATATAAAAGTCTTTATTTAGAGGCTGAGGATCACCTGAGCTTATGAATTGGAGATCAGCCTGAGCCAGAGCGAGACCCCATCTCTAAAAATAGTTGGGTGTTGTGGTGGGTGCCGTAGTCCCAGCTACACTGGAGGCTGAAGCAAGGGGATCACTTGAGCCCAAGATTTTGAGGTTGTTGTGAGCTCTGAGGCCATAGAACTCTACTGAGGGCAACAAAGTGAGACCCTGTCTCAAACAAACAAACAAAAAATCTTTATTTTTTTTAAATTTTTTATTTCCTAGCCATTATTATATGTTTTACATATTGACTTTAGAGAAATGATTAGATTCTGCAAAGCTGAAAGTATGTGATAAGTCTCTAGCAAACACAGAGTTTCAGGATCTTTAGATCTGTTTTTTTTTTTTTCCCCTTGAGACAGAGTCTCACTTTGTCACTCTCAGTAGAGTGGGGTGGTGTCATAGCTCACAGCAACCTCATAATCTTGGGCTCAAGAAGTCCTCTTGCCTCAGCTTCCCAAGTAGCTGAGACTACTTGGCACCCGCCACAGCACTCGACTATTTTTAGAGACAGGGTCTTGCTCTTGCTCAAGCTGGTCTTGAACTAGTAAGCAGGCAATCCACCTGCCTTGGCCTCCCACAGTGCTGGGACTGTAGGCATGAGATACCATACCTGGCCTTTTAGATCTTTTCTATGATGAAACAACTCTGGGTATTAATTGGGGTTCTGTTATACTTTGGGACATTTCTCTCTCTTTGGTTTGGGTCTTCTTTCTCTTACCTTACCTGGGCAGTTTTTATTTGCATATTCTCTTGTGGAAATCAGGTAAGTATATGAAAAAGATAAAAGAATTGATCGAGCTCTATGGGTTCTTTCTTCATCTTTTCTACTTCTTCCTCCTGTTTATTTTTTCTGTGAGCCAGGGTTTTTCTTGCCTCAGAATGCTTTCATTTCTCTTTTCCTTCCAGAGTAATAGTTGCAGAGACTTTGCAAGCACCTTCTTTCTTTTTACAGTCTGTTTCCCTGAAAAGAAGATTTGTTTTCTCTAGAATTTTCCCTGGAATGTTCCTACCTTTATGTCCTAAAACCTTTGATTTTCTTGTGAAAAGCACCAATTAAGGCACCAACTGGGGAGGATTTTATAATACAAATAAATAGTATAGATATGAATGGGCTTTCCTTTTAACTGTTACATCTCTAATACTTTTGTTTTTTCTAGTTTGCCATAACTGTTTTTAATATCGGAGCAATTCTGCTTTCCCAGAGAGAAACCAATATATGCAACTCTGTGTTGTTCTTTTGTTTTGTTTATTTTGCATATGGGTTTCCTGTGCTCCATGTGTTTCTCCCAGTGGACTATGTATATTGTTCATTATTAGTATGTAACTATTGTCCTTTTGTTTTCTTTTCCCTTCTCTCTTTACCCTGTGGTTTTTGTGCAGGTCTTGTTCAGCGTTGTGTAATAATCCAGAAAGATGACAATGGATTTGGGCTGACGGTCAGTGGAGACAATCCAGTCTTCGTACAGTCTGTCAAAGAAGGCAAGGCTTTTTTGAAAACAATTTTGTCCCTCAGGAGCAAATAGAGTAAGAGTGGAAAAGCTTACTCTAGTGCCTTTTGGCCCTGAATAGATTGTCAGTCATACAGACTCCTGTGCTAGATTTGCCTGTAGTGTTATAGTTGTAAGGATGAATTTATTCCCTTTAATTTTCTTTCTGCTTCATAGGAAGAAACAGTTTTAAAAATAGTTTTCAAAATCATATGACAGGTTACAGAGATGGTATAGGTTCTAAAATATCATTAATTCTTTCCCCTAAGTGACATTAGTACTCTTTACAGCTGTAACCATATAATGGATACATCCTTTATATTGGGTACTATAATTTGAGGTAGGCTTTTTAAATCCCTATTTTATAGGTAATGTTGAGGCTTAGAATAAAAAAAAAAAAACATGAGATCAGTCTGAGGTCACACAACTATTGAGTGGCAGGGGCAGAATTTGAACCTTAGTCTGTCTAATTTTATAGCACATGTTTTTAACCATTTTATTATACTGCCTTTCTTTTAAAATGATTATCAATAAATGCCAATGAATAACAATTTAAGTAATTAATTTCTCATAGATGGAGCAGCCATGCGGGCTGGAGTACAGACAGGTGATCGAATCATCAAGGTAAGGAAAAGATTACCAGGGAATTTATGGTATGATTAAAAAACAACTTGTATCATATTCTGAGTTTATCACTTTGATTTTTACAAAAAGCAGCATATCACATATGATAGATCTATTGACTGTAAAAATTTCATTTTTTTTTAAATTAATATTACCCTTTACTGAAGGGCATAATAAGAGGTTGGAAAAAAATGGAGTAGTCATTTATGTTCTTGAGTAGGAGAGTAAGTCCCTCTTGTAAAGATTATTTCTCTTCAAATTAATCTATTAGCAAGAAATTGTCATCAAGTTACAGGTTGAGTATCCCTAATCTGAGATTAAAAATGCTTCAAATTCTGAAACTTTTTGCGTGCTGACATGATACTACAAATGGAAAATTCCACACCTGATCTCTTATGATGGGTCATAGGCAAAACTTTGTTTTGCTGGATTGGTAATACATGACTATAGTCCCAACTACGGAAGAGGTTCAGGTGGGAAGACTGCTTGACGCTGAAGTTTGAGGCTATTGTGCTCTATAATCATGAGTATGAATAGCCACTGCCACTCCCGCCTGGGCAACATTGTAGGACCTCGATTTTTTTTTTTATTTCTTATAGCATAACTATGTACAATAATGCAATCATGGGGTACAGTGTGCTGTTTTCATATACATTTTGAAATACTCTCATCAAACTGGTTAACATAACCTTCATGTCATTCTCTTAGTAAATGAGTTAAGACATTCATACTCTGCTTTTAGAAAGAGTCACTTGTACCCTTGTAAGATAAATCATATAGGTGACCCCACCAATCACCCTCCTTCCCCCCATCCACCCCCTTCACATCTCCTCTCCTACCCCCTTCCTATATTCTAAGGCTATAATTAGGTTATGACATTCCTATAAAAGCTATGAATTAGTTTCAAAATAGGGCTCTGTACATTGGATACTTTTTTTTCCATTCTTAAGATACTTTACTGAGAAGAACTTTTTCTAATTCCATCCATATAAACATGAAAGAGGTAAAGTCTCCATCTTTCTTTAGGGCTGCATAGTATTCCATGGTGTATATATACCACAATTTATTGATCCATTCGTGGGTCGATGGACATTTAGGCTTCTTCCATGACCTAGCAATTATGAATTGGGCTGCAGTAAACATTCTGATGCAAATATCAGAATATGTAATTCGATTTTTGGTCTTCTGGATATATACCTAATAAAGGAATTGCAGGATCAAGTGGCAGGTTTATTTTTAGTTCTCTCGGTGTTCTCCAGATGTCTTTCATTTGCATTTCCACCAGCAGTGTAGAAGTGTTCTCTTTTCTCCACATCCAAGGACCTCGATTTTTAGAAAATAAAAAACTTTCTTTTATGTACAAAATTATGAAAAATTTTACATGAAATTACTTTCAGTCTATTTATATAAAGTGCATGTGAAACATAAATGAATTTCATATTGAAACTTGGGTCTCATCCCCAGTATATGCAAACATTCCAAAATTCAAAAAAGTCTAAAATCCCACACACTTCTGGTCATAAGCATTTCAGATAAAGGATGCTCAACTTCTGTGTGAATGGAATTGGAGTGACAGATGTCAATCATATTATTCTTCCATGAACATTGCAAAGGTATAAGAATAGCTAAAGAAAATTGGGTTATGTTTATAAGTATGTATTAGACAAGATGCTGTGGTTTGAAGTATGTAACTCCAGTGTAGATATAGACTTCCTAGTGGATGGCAGCAGGTAGGGAGTCTAGAAACAGGTCTTGGATTATGATCAGTATAGAAAGAATATGTTAGTAACTGTTTCTGAAACAGTTGACAAATTTGATTACTTAAAATCAAATTACTATATAGGAAAAGATGCCATGAAAGTATTTTTCAAATAATAATTTGGAAGAAATGTTTGAAACTTATTACAGAGTATGATACCCTTAATTGTTAAGAGACTTATACTAAGAAAAAATAATTTAATAGGAAAATGGGCAAAGAATTTTATCAGGCACTTCCCCAAAGTATTTGAAATAAGTAACATATTAATGAGGATATGCCCTACCTTACCATTAACAAAGAAGTAGACATTAAAATGATAGGTGAAAATATATATGGTTGTCAAAAAATGTAAAGATAACATTTTTACATTAGATACAATGTAGTACAAGATAACTACACCTTTGGTGTAGTTTGGGTTCAGTAAAATAGCTACTGTCATAAGTTTGTTGTGAGTATAAGGTAAAATCTGTTTGGATGTCAATTTGTGAATTAGTATCAAGTCTTTCAGTAAGAATATTTGACCAGTTTTGGCAGTTTTACTTTTAGCAACTTATTTAAGGAAATAAGTATAGGAAATATGAAATAATATGAGTATGGGGAAATTGGTTTTGGCTCTATCACATTGAAAACTTGTGAACAATCTTCAATGTGCATAAACCAGGAGCTAAAGAAATAATTTATATTTCATCTGCAGCTTTGGATGAGAGTGGATTAGGTCTCTGGGTACCTATATTGAAAGATATCCACAATGCAATGTTTGTTTTTGCAGAGAAAAAGGCACTTGTAATGTTTGTTTAGATGTCTGTCTGTCTAAAAAAGTGTCACCAAGATTAAAGGTCATAGTTAACAGTGATTATCTCAGGGACATGATGTATATTTTTCTGTTTTATATGATGTATTTGAAATGTAAGTATGACTTGCATCAAAAAAATACAGTTCATATTGAGTTCATGTTTCATTTTTTACTTTAATTTGTTTGGTTTAGTGGAGAATTTGGATAACATTTCCTGTATTCATTCTGTCTGAAAAATAATTTTCTTTGTAAAGATTAGGTCGTGTTTGAAAAACTTAACGACAAATTGAGTATTACTGTGGAAATACTATCTTTTCATCATTTTTTGTTCATTATAATTTTCACAAACCAATGAACCAGTAATTAAAAGCAAAGAGGCTTTCACTGTGAAGGATTTGTAAATCTGACCCATAATACATGATATGTTTTGTTATTTGTCTTGGTGAATCATCTCATATTATCATATGATAATATCATATAATTATATCATATAATGATCATATTATAATTGGTTATATTATGTATGATAATTCCTGAAGTTAATTTATCTATTGTCTCAATAGAATGTATCTGACATACTATTTTTATTTTCTCATAGGTGAACGGGACTCTGGTGACTCATTCAAACCATTTGGAGGTGGTGAAGCTAATCAAATGTAGGTGGATCTTCTTCTTAATTTTAATTGTTGAGAAACCCTTAAAGCAGTGGTTCTCAACTGTCCTAATGCCGTGACCCTTTAATACAGTTCCTCATCTTGTGGTGACCCCCAACCATATTTTGCTAACGAAAATAATTTTATGGTTGGGGATCACTACGACATGAAGAACTGTATTAAAGGGTCACGGCATTAGGAAGGTTGAGAACCACTGCCTTAAAGGAAGGTTCAGCAAACATTTTCTGTAATAGGCCAATTATATTTTAGGCTTTGTGGGTCCTGTGGTTTCCTACCTGATCTTGTCATTGTGACAGAAAGGCAGCCTAAGAGGATATCTAAATAAATGGGTGTGGCTGTTTCTGGAAAACTTTATTTACTGAAATGGTTGGTCTGTGGGCCTGATTTAGCCCCTTGGCTAGTTTGCTGACCCCACAATGAAGAAAAGTCAGAGGTGAAAATTAAATTTGCTAAGAACTATCTTTTGTCAACCCCATTTATATGTCAGATTATAATATCCTTGTCATTCTTGTAACATTGAATACATGGTATGTGAAAAAAATACATGAGTCACCAGAGAGGAAGCAGGTTAAGAAATCAGACACAATAGTTTGATGAACAACAATAGAACTTTATTATTTTTTTAAAATTTTTTTCTGAGACATTGTCACTCTGTCAGCCTGGTGTCAAAGCTTATAGTAACTTCAAACTCCTGGGCTCAAGTCATTCTCTTGCCTCAGCCTCAAGCCATCCTTTTGCCTTAGCCTCCCAAGTAGCTGGGACTATAGGCACTTGCCACGATGCCTGGCTAGTTTTTCCGTTTTTAGTAGAGATGGAGTCTTGCTCTTGCACAGGCTGGTCTTGAACTCCTGAGCTCAAGTGGTCCACCCTCCTGGGCCTCCCAGTGTTAGGATTACAGGCATGAGCCACCACACCCCTCCCCACAATAGAACTTTAGAAATCATCTAGTACAGTGTTTCTCATAATGCGGCAATGTATTTTCATTGTTATAAAGGGGTTGTGACCCACAGGTGAGAACCGCTGATTTAGCATAATCCCTTTTCCTTAAGTAAGTAAATAATTATATAATTCAGGATAGTAGTCTTATCTTAATAAATCTTCAGTGTTAAGAATTTATGATCTCAGGGACTTTACCTAAAAAGTGCAACATTATAACCTAATCATTAGTACTCTCATATTAATCTGAAATTAAAAAAAGAGAATTTATGATCATCAGGTTTGTGTGAGTGGCCCACTTGGGTTTAGTTCTCTGGGGAGAAACTGAGGCTTAAATCAGTAGTAGTCTGCACCTAACCTTCTGCCATCTCAGAGTCAGTGGGCAGGCCAGGCCTCTGCTGCTCACAGGGCTTAGTTTTCCTATCTGTAGAGAGAGAAGGGAGGGTTCAGTGGCCCTGGGAGCTTTACTTGCAAGTGATGATGGGGGGCGGGGTCTTCTGAATCTCAAAGTTGGGTGAAGTCCAGACACCACACCTCTCTGTCCCTGGGCTTCAGTTTTACTTTATTGTTAACACTTTAAGTGCACCTGCTTTCCAAAAAGAGATTTTCTATTTTCTAATGCTTCATTTATTGAATGGAAAATAGCATGACAGTTATGGCAGAAATAAAGAAAAGAAGTCACATGAAAGTCTTACCACCTAAAACATAAATTCCTTTTTCTTTGTTCTGGCCTAATTTGGGTATTATGCATTTGTTACTGTATGTTTTAAAGGGGAAAAAAAATGAGGCAGCTTAAAATAAAATGCAATAAAAAAGACTTTATGATCTTTTGCATCAGATTATTTCACAGTGAAGTAAACTACAAATGAGAGATAGTTGTTTGTGGCCACACGGAATCACTGTTTTATTCTGTTTGTTTCATTGAGTTGGTGGACATCTTCAGAATAAATTCAGTAAACTCAAATTTTTTTCTTGGTCTTCTTACTGCTTAAGTTAAGCAACTTTGAATTTTTTTTACCTTTACTGGTCACTTTGACTACATAGTTCTTAACTTAGTGTATTTTAACAGAAATGCAGTGATGAAAATTAAATCCCTATACTGGAATAAATATGATTACTTATTTAATGAGATGGTGTTTAAATTTTCATGTGCTAATAAGTATATTCCTGATGTCTGCTGTAGAGTATAGAAAGATTGTGCAGGGCTCAGTGGCATGTGCCTATAATTTCAGCAACTGAAAGAAAGGAAGCAAAGATGGGAAGATAAATGGAACTCAGGAGTTTATGGCTGCTGTGACTATTATCATGCCACTGTGTTCCATCCTAGGTGTCGAGAGCAAGACCTTCTCGCTAAAAAAGGTTTTTTAAATAATGAAAATGAAAAGTAAGGCCAGGCATAGTGGCTCATGCCTATAATCCTAGCACTCTTTTTTTTTTTGAGACAGAGTCTCAAGCTGTGGCCTTGGGTAGAGTTACCATAGTGTCACAGATCACAGCAACCTCCAGCTCTTGGGCTTAAGCGATTCTCTTGCCTCAGCCTCCCAAGTAGCTGGGACTACAGATACCTGCCACAGTGCCTGGCTATTTTTCGGTTACAGTTGTCATTGTTGCTTAGCAGACCTAGGCTGGGTTCGAACCCGCCACCCTAGGTGTATGTGGCCAGCACCCTTGCTGACTGAGCTATGGGTGCCACCAATCCTAGCGCTCTTGAAAGGTCGAGACAGAGAGGATTGCTTGAACTCAGAAGTTTGAGGTTGCTGTGAGCTCGGTTGATGCCATGGTATTTTTAGCTTCGGCAACAGAGTGAGACTCTGTCTCCAGGAGGAAAAAAAATTATAAAAATGAAAAGTAAGATTATTTCTTTAGCTATGTAGTTATATTTTTTGATCATTCTGATATAAATTTTATTAAAAAATTAAATCCTAGGATTATAGCAAGAGATTATTTATCCAATAGCAAGGGCGTAGCTAAAACCTTAAAACACTCTTGAGTATTCAAAACAGGTAAAAATTTATCACGTCTAAAACCTATTTGCTGTACTTATAATAGAGCTCTCACATTTAGAAATACTTAACAAGGGAAGAGCTAGGAAGGTATTTAGGTAGACATACTCGAACGAGGAAAACTTATTTAATAAGTGATTTTCTGATACAGAGTGATAAGATAGATTGAAAAGGCTTAGAAAGTGTTTATACTTAAAATTCCTCCAAATTATAGCACCTGTAACTAAGTTTAACAAAAATAATTTTTAGTATCCCAAAACTCTATAAATAATCAATAATGAATTCCATGGGACAAGTAAGTTGGGAGAGAGTATGAAATACATTTAGAAGTTCTATTGAAATGTCTAAGAATAAGATTTTGTAACTTAGTCAGTTATCTACAAAAGTCACCTATTTGAAGCATTTCCTTTTAATGCTAGATAAGTAGTGAGTATTGTTAAGTTTTTCTGATTAGGATGAATTTTGCTGTCTAGATCCTGCTCCCAGTAATATGTCTAGTGAATTTCTGTCTACTTCTGTAATTTTTTTAATTTTTTGAATGAAAATATTTATTGTTTTTTCCTTTTTTGCAGAATATTTTTTGGTCATACTCATTTTCTAAAGTTAATTTAAAATTGCAGTAGAATATTGATTAAACTCTGCCTAATTAGTATTATCTTAAAATATGAAGATTTTAAAAAATTTATGTTTAAGAAATAAATTGAATATAATTATTGGTAGGTGGTCTTCTCTAAATTAAGAAAATATATTCTAAAATAATAAAAGATTAAAAAAAGATAATGTCTTCTCAGTGTTATAAGTTTTTTAAGTAATATCTGGTCCTATGAGTAGTAGTTTGCTATCTCAAAATGGCATTGTTCTTTTAAATATTTTAGATTTAGAGCAGTCATAAAAGAGAAATGACAAATTGGATTGTTTTTCTGTGGGGACATGATTAGTAACTGATGGAACTCTCATGTAACTAAATCTTGTAGAGCTGTCAAGATGAAGTAATGAAATGCTATAAAGTGTTTCCTAACAGTGCTATTTTCCTTTCCCCTTTCTTTCTCCTGTCTCCCCACTCCAAGCTGGTTCCTATGTAGCTCTCACTGTTCAGGGACGCCCACCTGGGTCGCCCCAGATTCCACTTGCTGATTCTGAAGTAGAGCCATCAGTCATTGGACATATGTCTCCCATCATGACATCCCCTCATTCACCTGGAGCATCTGGGAATATGGAGAGAATCACTAGTCCTGTGCTTATGGGGGTAAGAGTAAGAAAATTTCCTAGTAAATGCTCAGTTGTGTGTATAGGGGTGTTTTTGCTTTGAAGTATGTGGCTGATACACATTTTAATTTTAAGATTCTAGAAAATGACTTCCTAATAGAAAAATTATTTAATAATTGGGAATAATTGCACAGTGTTGTCATAGCTGATTTAGTTTAACAAATATCAAATACCTACCATATCCAAAACAGCGTACCATCTACAAAAATATAATTCTGTGTTCAAGGTTCCTAGTCATCTTAGAATGTATAAATTTGGAAGACAAGGGTTTTTGAGGGGTTCTTTTTTTTACTTTTGTGTCACCAATATCTGAAATATTGCTTAGCATGAAGTAAGTGCTTAACAAACCTTTGCTGATTGAAATTTAGTCAAGATTATAGAAGTAAATATAATACAAGGACTGAAACTAGGTAAGTTCCATGAGGCTTCAAAGGAGGAAGAAAGCGTATCAGGTTGTGATAAGAAAGGCTTTATTTGAATAGGTAACATATAGGTGGTGGTGATAGAAAGGAAGGCAGCCCAGGTAGAGAAAGTAGAATAAACAGAGATAAAGAGCCAAGAAAGCTTCAAGTACATATTCTCCGGAAGTAGCCGGGATTTTTGTTTGGCTGGTGCCCAAGGGTGTATGAGGTAGGAGATGTACTTTAAAAAAGTAGATTGACTACATATTTTGAAAATTCACAACTACCAGTTTGATTTACCTGTAACTGGATAAGTAGTAAAGAAGCCATTACTTTTATTTGTTTTGTTTTGAGCAAGAGTAACACTGTGAGAGGACGATAGGAAGACTAGTGTGGTAAAATGCTCCATGGTTGTAGAAGAAGGAGATGAGTTAGGGACCTGTCTTCATATTCCAGCTAGGAAGTTCTGGGAATTGGAGGAATGCGTGGGGATTGATAGTAAAGATCCAAATGAGGGAAAGGGTTAAGCTATTATTTTTATACTATGACAACTTTATTTGTTCAACTAACGTCACTATTTAATGTTCTTTTGATCCCCACTGAGTAAAAGTGAAATAGGAGGCCAGAAGTTCTCCTATAACTTTTTACCTTTGGCATGTCTGAAAGCCTGTCCTGTTAACCCAGGAATAAAGAAAATCCCAGTAGGTATTGATACTTGGAGCTGATGCAGAACATTGTATATATTTTTTTCTCTATTTATTTTAGCTTCGTTTTCCCTATATTGGTTGTGGTTTGTTTTTATCTTTTTCTAGGAGGAAAACAATGTGGTTCATAACCAGAAAGTAGAAATTCTGAGAAAAATGTTACAAAAAGAACAGGAACGGCTGCAGGTACTAAATTAATAAAAATGGGGCTATTGACAGGCCAATAGAAACATGAGTGGTTATACTTGAGTTGGTGTTTGTAATCACATCCCAGCAGTATTGTAATTAATACTATTAGTTATTTTATTGATTAAGAATGGACTTTTTCTATATTTTCTTGACATAAGTAATTCTCAAAGTATTTTTATAACTTTTCAGTTATTACAGGAAGATTACAACCGAACACCTGCCCAAAGATTGCTAAAAGAGATCCAAGAGGCCAAGAAACACATTCCTCAGCTGCAAGAGCAGTTATCCAAAGCCACAGGCTCTGCTCAGGTAGCATCACAATTAAAAGTGCTACCCAACTAGAGAATATTCTTCTGGGAATGTGTCAGAGAATGTTGCAGTTCCTTTTTTAAAGTTAATTTTTCTAGCGTAGGACCACAGTATGTCCTTTGTAGGATGCTACAGAAGTAATGATTAATGAAATACATGTGGGCGTCTGATTGGTTGCTTGTTCATGATAATGTTTCTTGATAATAGTGCAGAAAAGAATTGAGCACTTTTGCTTTGATGTGACAAACTACTAAAATGTGTTTAGGAACATATATTTACATTTACATTTTTGTGGTTCAATCTGCTATCTTAAAGTAGAATGGCAGTTGATATGTTTCTAATAGGGATATAAGGTTTTAAAATCACAGGCATTATGCTAAATACATGGACAAGCATTTTATTATTTAATCTGCATGGTAACCCTCTGAGGTTAGGTACTGTTGTTTTCCTCCATTTTTCGTATACATTTAGTGGAAATATAGACAGATTAATCAACTTAATCTGAGATTATGTAGCTCAAATGATAGAGCTGGAATTCAAACTTAGACAATTTAAAAACACATTCATACTCTTAATGACTATATTTTCATAATTTTAAAATAGATTTCATAGAATTTGCCACACAGGTATAAGTTATGGAGATAATGGTCTCAGAATAGCTCAGCATTTGTACATGTGTATCAGCCAGACTCTTATTCTGTAATATTCAGATTTGGGATATGGAAAGCTCCTTATGCTTTATCTTAAAGCAAAATGGACAGACTGCCTATACATTTAAAGTAGGTAAAAGCTGTTGATTTGTCACTGTTCCTGAGTTAGGCCTGAAGTAAAAGCCACGTATTCATAGAATTGAACACATCTTTGAGAACTCATCTAACCTAATCTGCTCATTTTTAAGTTTAAAAATCAGGGCCTGAACTGGTTAAATGATTTATACAAGGCCATGCAATATGTAAGGTCTCGTAACATCCTGGTTTAGTGTATTTTTCATTATGCATTATATTTTCATTACTTTCAGTGCCTCTGGCTATGTCACATATTTAACATTATGCCTCAGTAATGTTGACAGTTCCATGTTACCACCAAGTAAAGACAACATTCTTACCCTGTTTGAATAATAAAAGTGTGTCCTGATGAAAAAACATATAATAATTTATAACGTTGTTATAACATTGTTATAATAATAACATTGTGTCTAAGAATTGGCAATTTGTTGAAACTCTGATGCATTGGAAGGCAGTCGACCAGTTAAATTACAATGTAATAATCTTAACTAATGGGCAGATAATATCAATAATATAAATTAACAAACAGTTGTTATCTTTTTGCTATATTTGAAAGCTTGAACCTTTACTCTCTTTACTAAAATATCACCTTCCCCATCTACAAGTCAGAGAATATAAAGTTGAATCAGAGTAGTTATTTATGGATTTTACTCATAGAACTTTGTACATTCTTGATTGTATCAGAGTATCCAAGTTTTGGCAGTGTTCATGTAGATTGTCAAGCCACTCTTTTTCTTTATGCAATCACTAATGAAAGTTTTTATGTGTTTGTGTGTGTATGTGTGTATTGCTATATTCTGTTTTAGGATGGAGCTGTAGTTATACCCTCTAGGCCTGTAGGTGATACCCTAACAGTGAGTGAGGCAGAAGCAGATACTGGAGATGGACTGAGCAGGACTGACAGTAGCAGTGGAGATGCTTCTCGGCCCGGCAGTGACAATGCTGATGTAAGCATTAAGGGTTGTAACTCTTTATTTTATTGTAGTCTTCCTTATAGTCCCTTTCTAGATTTGATTTTACGTTACATGAATTAGAGATGTGGTCTTATTATTTACTTTTTACCATCTTCATCTTCAAAAAATTCTTCAACACTTCTTTAACAAATTGGTATATTAATTGTTATATATTGTATATGAACTTTTAATTCTAGAGCCCTTTCCTTTGAACTTCCATTGCCAACTATTTCTTTTACGAGGATGGAATTTCCCAGCAGGCATCTTGTTTGTGGGTAGAGAAGTTAATAATGCCAGCACTTTCTTACTGAATGGAGAAACCAACTTTTGATATCTTTAAAAGCGTGTTAATTTTCCATTTGTGGTCAGAGTGACTCAGTCTTGAATCATGGGGCACTTTGTCACTACAAAGAGGAAAAGCCTTAGTTCTATTAGATAGACTTCAGTTAATAGCCCAAGTTTAGTAACAGCATTTTCTTTGTTAACCCAGAAACTGCCAGATGAACATCAGTATTTGTTAGGAAGATGATGATAATCTATTTTTTAAGATGAATATGGTATAGCACTGTAGTCAGGCGAATATGCACAAGCTGAGTTCAGTGTTACTCAGCAATAGTTTGTAAGTAGCATGCAATGACTGCAATATACAAAATATAAATACAGATCACTCTCTTTAAAAGTACTGAGGGAAGTGGTCTGGACCACTGTTTTTATAACTGTGGATCATGAAGTCAGTAGATTGTGGCTAGTTTTTTCTTTCTTTCTTTTTTAAGAATAGAAAATAAAGAGTGCTTTGCATGTAGAAGAGGCCTTACTTTTTGTGACTTTTTGTCATACACACGTGTACGCGTGTGTGCTGTTAACAGTGTGAAGTTTCTCTTTTATCCAAAGTTGTGGTTAAAAACAAAATTGACAGCCACAGTCTAATGACTCAATTCCTCACATAAGGAAAATTTGAGTTTGTATGTTTGTTTTTTTAATGAAAGATGATAAGAGTCTTGCAATTGGATTAGCTAAGGTTTTAATGGAAAATTTCAATTTTGGCTCAAGAGAAAATACTATAATGGCTAACATTTATTGGGTTTACATACCATACATTACGATAAGAGTTTCACATTCCTTAGTCGATTCTCAAAATAGACTTATAAAGTTGTACCTAGTAATTTACAGATATTCTTTTTAATTCTCATAATCTTAATGAAGCACTATCATCATTTAGCTGATGAGGAAACTGAGGCCAAATAAATGAATATTAAGGAAATTCGGGTGAAAAATGATTAAGTCCAGAGTAGGCTGTAGCAAACTGGTTTAACTCCCACAAGTATCTGAGGCTAAAGATATATCTATTGAGTCAGTGCTTTTGATTTTTTTCACTTTCTTCTCATTTTTATAAAATAGTCTTCTGGTAGTATTTGTGATATCAGTATTTAAAAAATCCCTACTTTGCATTTCTTGGAAAAGGCTTTTAAAAATGTCTGCATACATAGTTTGCACAAGAAAATCAATTTGATAACAAATCATCTCAGATTTAGAGTGCCTGCTTTTCTGATTTTGGTTTGTTAAGAATACTTTGAAACTTGTGTTCCTGGTAACCTAGCCTTGGCAGTTATCACCTGGGCTCAAACTTGTTTTGTCTATCTTCCCTATTCTTTATACCCCCAAACACGGGATTAGTTTAAAGTAAATTTAAGATACTGTTTCATTAACATGTGTCTCTTAAGAGATAAGATGTGTTAAAAATATAGCTATAAAATCCTTATCAAACTTTAGAAATGAACATTTTCCTAATATATAATTTAATTACACTATAATGATCTTTTCAGAGTTTGTTTATTTGAACCAACAGTCAAGGTCTTCATATGGCCTTTGATATTTTACATCTCTGTATTTTATAATTGTTCTCCCATTTTTCTTTTGCCATTTCTTTTACTTTTTTGCCAAAGAAATTAGGTCATATGTCGAGTTAAAACAGCCCGTTTTCTAATTGTATTTTCATGAGCTTGTCTAACATGTTCCTCTATCTTTATTTCCTGAAAACTGATAGTTATATCTAGGGTCCTGACAAGATTAAGGTTTGAGAGTTGTTTGGCAGAAACAATTTATGGGTGGTAAACTATGTACATCCCATTATATCATCACATTAGGATGTGAAGTTTTGATTGACTTATTGTGGTCCTAAGTTTATTTTAAGGTGTTCAGGTGATGTCAACATGATTCCTTCATTATAAAGTTCCCTGCCAAGCCTTTATGTAATGTTTTCACATGCCATTGATGATCAAAATGCATTATTAAGGTTTCAAAAGTATGAAACAAGTTTGTCATTTTTTCTGTATTTATTAGGTGGAATTATTTTATAAAGAAGAATGTTACATTACTAACTATTAGGTTACCCTAAATTATAGCTTATACAGGAAATGCAGGATTGTTTTTCTTCTAAAGAATCTTTTGGGGTGGGTTGGTGCCTATAGCACAGTGGTTATGGCGCTGGCCACGTGCACCGAGGCTGGCGGGTTCGAGCTTAGACCGGACCAGCTAAACAACAGTGACAACTGAAACAAGAAAATAGGTGTTTTGGCAGGCCTGGAGTCCCAGCTACTTGGGAGGCTGAGATAAGAGAATTGCTCAAGCCCAAGAGTTTGAGGTTGCTGTGAGCTGTGACAGTACAGCACTCTACTGAGGGTGACATATTGACACCTTGTCTCCAAAAAAAAAAAAGAAAGAAAATCTTTTGGGGCTGGTATGGTATCTCATGCCTGTTGTCCCAACATTTTGGGAGGCCAAGGCAGGTATATCACTTAAGCCTAGGAATTCAAGACCAGCCTGTGCAACATAGCAAGGCCCCTGTCTCTACAAAATAACTTAAAAATGAGCTTGGTGTGGTAGCATATACCTGTAGTTCCAGCTACCTGGGAGGCTAAGATGGGCAGATTACTTATATCCGGAAATTCCAGGCTGCAGTGAGCTATGATTGCCCTATATCACTCCAGCTTGGGTGACAGAATAAGACCCTATTTCTTTTTTTTTTTTTTTTGAGACAGAGCATCACAGCTCACAGCAACCTCCATCTCCTGGGCTCAAGCGAGTCTTCTGCCTCAGCCTCCCAAGTAGCTGGGACCACAGGTGCTCGCCACAACGCCCAGCTATTTTTTGGTTGTAGCCGTCATTGTTGTTTGGCCGGCCCAGGCTGGATTCGAACTCACCAGCTCAGGTGTATGTGGCTGGCGCCTTAGCCACTTGAGCCACAGGCGCTGAACCAAGACCCTATTTCTTAAAAAATTAAAATTAAAAAAAAATTAAAAATCTTTTTCTTGATTCTTTTCAGGAGAATTCATACCCTAATAAACTCTAGAGGTGATAAGTGGGCCAGTGAGAGGGAGGGGAAGTATATGTTTAATATTTTCAACTCATAACTTCTAATGTGAATTACCCTTTTCTAGTCCATTGGGGCCCCCACATGTTGTCCTCTGTTCTTTTTGACATGACTCTCCAGTATCTTTGATAGCTTCTTTGCTTTTTGTGACTGGATTATTCTAATCTTACCTTTTATATGTATTATCCAAAACCAAGAGTCATGCATTTCTCTCAGGTGGGGCATATATTTGACACTCCTGTTTTCTCTATCCTGTGTGTTGGTATATGTATATAGATAACTTGTGTCTTTCCTGTTGGCATTTATACACAAGTCTCTTGTTCCTCATTTCATTTGCTCTGAAGATTGGCTTCCATTGCTTTGGGGTGTTCCTCAACACCCAAAAGTGAATTTTCTGCATGTCATATAGTGTGTATTTTATACACTTGGTTTTCTGTATTTATGATCATATCTTTGAACTCAACCAACTGCAGAACCCATGTAGCACCTTTCACATGAGGTAGTGACAGAAAAATAGAAACTTAATTTGTATAAATAGAACAAAGTGACTTTTTACTTAAAGGGGTAGTTTGGGAAGGTGGGGTTAGGGAAGATAGATAAAGATAGAATTTGATTTTGATCTTATGAGTTTGAGATATGTTATGGGTCCACTTAGAGTTACTTTGTAAAAAAATAACCCCTCAGTCCTGGAAATAGGGTAAAACTGTTTTGTTGGTTCTGTATAGTTTATTAACATAAAACTGAAAAGCTGAGAGAATAAATGACTTACTAAAAACAGAGGGAAAAAAGTCAGTGGCAAAGCCAGGTATCTGAAAGATATTTAGTAGTTTTAAATATAATATGAAATTCAGAACATTATTTTTTCACACTAATTTTCATTATCTTTTTTTGTGTGCCTGTTGAAGTGAACTGAAGATCTTTTTTTTTCTTGTTAGAGCCCCAAGAGTGGCCTGAAAGAGAAGATTTATCTAGAGGAAAACCCAGAGAAAAGTGAAACAATTCAGGACACTGTGAGTATGAAGTCTGTTCAATGCTAGTGCTGTCTGTAGTGTTCCTTAGACTTCAGGTATGGGAAACAGATTTGATGTTTGTGTATTCTACTGTTTTTGAGAACTAGGTTTTTTAAAGGAACTTAATGAAGATTTGAATAAATGGAGAGATATTCCATGGTTAGTTAGTGTTGTTAGGTTGCTTAGTATTATATTGTT